CTTGCCCACCCGTGCCCTCCTCCTCTGTCCCATCAATCTCGGGGGAAGGACCAGTGACATAATTGGTGGGCTCCGGAATAAATGGCAAAACTGCTTTCCATGCGTTGCGAAGCACGTCAAGGTCTGGTTCGCCCATGCGACCTGTTTCTGAAACAGAAATTATGATACTGAGAAGGGCATCCTCGAGTAACTTGTGAGGGCCCTGAGGCTCACTGAATCCCCCCTGCAAGGTAGCGTATGACAGCAAGTTGTTGATGGTGGGGAGGGTAGATGGGTTTGTGAGATTGGTGTCGAGGAGTAAGACGAGCGGAGAGACCAATATGGCCATTATGAGGGGGCTGACATAGGAATAACTGAAACATCGTCAGTATGACCCACCTGGGATAAGAAGGAGGCATACCGTTCGGTGGTGAGGCAGAATTTCGTTTTCTGTATTGTCGATCTTAGTGAAGAAAAAAGATGATGAATTTAGTGATACTCACAAAAAACTCCAGTGGTCCTACCTCACACATCTCTCTCAGAGCGGCCGCACAATAATAAATGTGACTGATTAGGCGTAGCTGCTGGGAGTTCGTTTCTAGATGTACCGCATGGTCGATGAGGTGTTGTAAAGTGGGGACTTGGGCATCAGGAAGAATGGGGCAGGAGGTAGAACCAAGTTGAAGGAGATTGGGGGGCTCCCTGCGTAATGCAGTAAGGCGATCTATAACATTGCCTAACCAGTACTGGACGGTCCGCCTGTTGCTCTTATCAAATGTAAGGGTGCCACCGGATAGGCTTGAATCGAAAGTGTACTTATGACAACCTGACCAGTAAGTGCGAACCAGCAGCATAGAAGAAATGATCAATGGAAAGATTTCTCTGCCTACTCGTGCTTTGAAAGTGGGCAGATGTGACGTCGGACTCAGCACAAGGTCTGGCACAAGATCCTTTCTCCAGGGGCCAAACTTCCGCACTGTCTCAACGAGGACTTGGTAAAAACAAGACTCATCCTGGGGCCCAAAGTCGTCCAAAGCATCTTGAACCAGATCCGAAAAATTTTCGAATTCCTTGGGCATGGACATTGCGACGGTGAATTCGGCCAACGCCGCTATCCTCCATATATATATAGCACTTGGCACATGACTACGTGTGATCGGCATATTGGTTGACACTTGCCTGGACAACATAATCATCTACTCAAACCGAATTTGTTGAAGTTTCTTGTTGTACACTGTGGACTGCTCATTGAGTCCTATGAATTAAATTTCTTGCGCACGGACTTTTCCCTGAAGGATTGCCCGATGCTTCCACGTTGATGGACGCAGGCTTAAAAGCCACCTCGCGCAATTTTCCTCTCCTCAGTACTTGGAACTGAGGTGAGATCTCCTTCATCCTTTGACGTTCTAACGTTGTATGTACTCTTAGACAGTCTAATCGGTCTTAGCCGAAGTAGTAAACTTGGGCCGGCAACAATTGCCATTCGAAGGAGCGGCCTAGGGCGAGCGGTAAAAAGTGACGGTATTATAGGATGGTGGAGGGGTGGGAGGTGGTGAGATAAGATGATTGATACAAGACTAGGCCGTGATTAATGTAGGCGGTCTACACGCTGCGCATCGAAGGCCAAATGGCCAGTGAGAGTGCTTTGAATCAGCAACGGGTTCTGACGGAGGCAAATGAGGAAGTTGCTCCTCCTGAGCGGAAAGAGTGTCCAGCGACGTTAAGATCGTTAACAACTGCTTGCAGATGGGAATAAACCAAAAACGTAATGGTAATTTTCTGGACTCGCGAAGCCACAAATCAGGGAGATGTGCAAATTTGGCGCCGAGTTTTCAGGACCTGTAGCGGATCAAGAGAACCCCCCCCCCCGCGCTTCTCGAGGACAGTGGTGTTGAAACATTGACATGCACCCACTCAAAGCACCCAATCCGGACTCGCTCCCGCTTAGCCGGGTGGCACCTTTCCTATTCTGGCCACTCCTTTGCGCCCCCTTGTCGCGTTGGGGATTGTGCTCTGACGCCCTTTGCCTCCCAACTCTGTCCTTACGCCACTATCACCTATAAATGTAACGACGTTACGCACTGCGGACATCATCTAACATATAGACGATTGTCCGCAGATTCCATTAAATGGTAGACCCCTCGAAGAATTGATCCGCCTTATGCATTGGAAAGAAGGAAGCATGGGGACGAGGGATTTGTTAAATCTGACTTAAGACCGTCGAACGGTTTTGCGAAAGCCTCGTAGAGATTATCGTTATCAACGAGCTCTCCGAGTCGCACAAAGCAATGTCATGCGACGAAACAAAGTGCGATGAAAAGGAGATCGTCAGCGTGGGATGGAAAACTGGATTCGATGCAAGTCATCCTCCGTCTTGATGGGGGGAGCCCTGTGGAGTTTCAAACATCCGGCAAAGATGTGAGTGACAAAATAGGAGTTCTGGATTTCTTGGATATAGGTGGCGTTGAATGCCTCATCGACATAATGAAGAAGACCGTGAATTCCTCGAATATGGATCGCAATCGAGCAAACTAGTCCAAAGAATAAGCACCATAGTCGGCCCGATGGCTTCCGAAAACCGCACAACGGTCAACACGGTATATCCCGTCAATCATACAGGGGATCGTAAGTTGTTCACTCCTGCCGGATCTCACGAAGAGGCACAGGAACCCGTATTTGTTATCGAGTTGTAGCAACGTGCTTCACATCAGCAAGTTTATCGCGATTGTCCCCCTGGCGGATCTCACGACGAGGCACAGTCGTATTTATTGCTCAAGTGGTTCACTCCTGGCGAAGAGCCCACAGGAGCCCGCATTAGTTTGATTGGTTACAAGTTTTGCGACGTGTTTTTGCGACGTGTTACCCTGTTCACCCGTTCCACCCTCATTTCACGATGCCTCTCCTTGCCAGACGTCAAGCAGCATATAGAATTGCCCAGTATCGCCAGAGCAGGTCCCGAGTGACCCAGATGCCCAAGAGTTTCCCTTATTTGTTGACCTTTTGCAATGGATTCAAGTTCTGCCATTGAAGCGTTGACGTTTTACGAGCCGATGCCTGGCCCGCACTCCAGAAGTTCAAGGGCACCAAATTGAAGAAGATTTTATACGATTCCGAGTTCCAGACAGCGGCCGCGTGCCTCACGAACCAACTGAAATGCGATTATGTCGTGTGTTATTGCACGGAAAAGGAAGCTAGGTTTATCCAAACCCTTGATAGCTATGCATGAGAACAAGGACTGGAACGCGCTAAAGAAAGATCTGCTCAGTTTTACTCAGATGAGCAAGAAGATTGCATGTATCGCACAAAAGATCTCAGGAAGTTAAAGTCTCAACTCCCTAACCCTCGCAGCAACTCGGGTCGTCGATGAGCATTGATAATCCAACAATAAGATCAAGCACGGTGAAGGTTTTGACGACTAACCGCCGCCGTTTCCAAGTTATTGCCAGACCCCTTGAGCAGAGGAACACGCTCAACGCAGGTGATAGGGATGACTATTTTTGCCGTGGGCCTAGTAGGCCCACGTCCCTCCCATGGACCATGTTGTAGCAATGGTTAAGGAGCTCCAACAATACGACTTGGACCCTGTCGACGAGTCCGATGAGTCCGATAATGGTTCAGACTCAGCAAGCGAGTGTCTCTGAAGATAGCAGTGATGGCTCATAAAGTGAGGACTCCAATGACAAGGGATCCGACCCAGAAGCAGAGGCCGTGTCCTCATCACGTCGCAGAACAGTCAAGACACCTAGGAAGAAGGCGTTGAAGAGATCCAAGTCCAGAGCCACCAAAGCTAGCGAAGATGACTGCAGGATTACAGAGACCAATCCAGATGCTAACCCGAGCCCCCAGGATGCAGTCCAGCAAGCTAATATGGACAGTCTCGTGGGGCACATGAGCACATTGACAGTCGAATTAGCCTGCTTACGGATAGGCTTCGTTTTTCCCCTCGTAATGACCGATGTTTTATGTGTGATGACATAGGCCACTTCGTTCAAGAATGCCCCGAGACAAATACCTTTATCACCGTTGGTGTACTCGGATACAACGCGTTTCATAAACTGATTGTGGCCGATGGCTCCCACCTTCCGCCCCCAATGGAGGGTGAATGGTTCGTTTGATTCGCAAGCAAGCTGAGATGCGCTCCAGCGCTGCAACGCTCGAGTGGATGCGCGATGATGAACAAGCTGGTCAAGAATTTGCCATCCTGGGCGAATTTCAGAGTGTTCCATTGAGTAAGAGACTTAGCTCTGATAGTCTACAGTATGAATTTGCGCCAAATGACTACGACTCAGACATTGGCAAACCTGTCCATGAAGTTTTTCATTTGGAGTTGTGTATGGATGACGCGCCAACCGAGGCTAAGCCAATCGGCCACGAAATAGTCTATGATGTCCCCAACTTAGACTCGCGCTCTAATGACGATACCTCTTGTGAAACGGCCTATGACACCTCCGGCCTGGATTTGCGTCCCAACAATGAAAGTTTTAGTGGAACGGTTATGACGTCTTCGACTTAGACTCATTCATATCTTCACGATGACAAGGAGAGGTTTTGTGAAGCCAAGCCCATTTCTGTGTCCAAAGATCGCATTTCTGAACCGGGGCTCAATGATCGGGAGCTAAGGCCTGCGGCCTCGAATCGACCGATCTCGTTTGCCCAGATGAAGTCAAAGGGCCTCAGTCAATGGAGGCGATCGGATCCTATGATGAGTTTCACCTGGCCAAGTAAAGCAAACCTTGCCACGAAAGCGCTGAGCACAAGGCAGATTTGTTCAGGTAGAATTTTGAGTCAGAAACGTCGCATATGTTCAAGGATGCAACTGTGCCGCCGTTGAGCAAATACTACTGCCTACATATGCGCCCGGAGAACGTGCCTCAGAGCAGGCAATGGCAACAGATTTCTTATGCCAAAGCAAGGTCGAGTCTAAGTCCCCCAGCGTGAGGCCACGCTACAAGGTGTTTATCCCCCAGCCGTTGCTGCAGGTTGAACGTATAATCCCAGCCAAGGCAACCAGAGTAGTGCACATGTCGCTTGATCAAGATTATGGGGAGTTGCCCCCGCATGCACTGATTCTTACACCCAAGATGTGCAGGTTCAACCGGGCGAGGCTTAGCGATAGCCAAAGTCCTGTTTCACGGAGCGTTCCATGTTACTCCGGACCAGCCGAGTTGGTTAATGCCAAGCCACTGCATATTGAGCTTGAGATGGATGAAGGCTATATCCCTCCACCCGAGCAAGATCCAGATAAAACCTTAGACACGCAGCACGGTCTGGGCAGCCAGTCGGCCCCACTTGTGCGTGAGCCTGCGACAAACCCCAGCACACCCAGGTCACCAAGTTCCCTGGTGACACCCGCACACTCGCGATGCCGGAGGGCATCTTTTCCCAAGCTGCTGTGGACTTAGAGTCCATGGTCCATTCCGCTTGAGATGCGCGATGGCACCTATCCAGGACATTCTCGCAGACCTCTTTACAGACAGTCCAGCTCCAACACGCAAGTGAATGCGAACCAAGACGCAGCTCTCGGCTCAAGACTAAAGAGCTCAAGCCTCCCTGGCGACACGGAGAGCACGCTCACCCTTTGTGCACATAGACCCGCCCTCGTTCTAGTTTAAGCCAACCATTAATTGTTCTTACATGTGTTCTTATGATTTTCGATGAGTGCAACTTGAGCGCTTATTGCTTCATGCGAAACTACGCCATCATTTCTGTCTGAGCATAATTCTACATCACGTACTGACCATTTACATGGCGAGTACAAGAGTTACAAGAGGACAAAGTCGAACTAAAGCTGCAAGCATTCGAAGTCACAAGAAAACCGTCATATTGCTGATTCCGCCTCGTAAACCCCAACTGGGCGTGTAATTGTTGCTCTCCTGGGCGGATCCTGAGATAGGGGACAGGAGAAGCAGCTCGCGTTTGGGAGTTGTGCAAGTCGACACTAGTTGCCATGACTGTTGCCACTCAAGACAGCGCCAATTCTCCTGGCAGACTCCACGATGGGGCACACACAGGATGGCTTCGTCATTTGAAGTTCCACCACATTTCTCAGAGTTTTTCCCAAGTCGGACGCGTCGTTACCACGATACACAAGCCCCTTCCCGAGCCAGACGACCGTTTAAACCACATTCCTCTCACTTTCATTTCGATTTCCCCCGAGTGTTCATACTGGAGACACCAGACGGCGACGTCGGACTTGATGAAGTCCCCACAGCGCAGAGCACGATGCTGCGACCGCACCCGGCCCTACAGCGCTAGATTGTACCGAGCTCAAGCCAAAAAGGCTAAGGCCGGGAGGCCTTAGCATCGAGTTGCCGTCTGACATCGATCCCGAGCCCGTGGGCGATGCTTACCGTGGAAGCACCAACCCGAGCCGTTGTATGCGACGTGAGAGTGCAGGCACGGGAGGCATGACCTCCAGGGCCTACCTAATAACTCCCAGCGTCGCCGGTTCAAGCCCAAAGAGCTAAAGCCCCGGCCAGCTTGGAGTTCCCGCTTTTGATGACGATCCAGAGCCCGTGCACTCGCACGACGCCCCAGAGACAAGTCCAGTACACGACAGCGCTGAGCACAAGCTAGAAGAGCTAAGGCCGGGAGACCTTAGCGACGAGAATCCATTCATGTTCGAACGCGAAGCCGATCGCGGATCTGCGAAGTCAGTGACCGTAGACGTGGGTAAGTGATGGGAGTGGAAACAAGGCGAATCCTCCCATTCGACCGATGGTTCTCCAGTACCAAGTTGCGCGCACGGCAAAAGCCTTGGTATAGAGCCAGTTGATGATGGGTGGGGTGAGGTGGGGGTTGATGGTTGGATGGTTGGATGGTTGGGTGAGCAGATGGATTGAGCGCGACAAGATCCCGTGGGAAAGTTCTGAGGTCACATGGCATTCAACACCATGCGGACTTCTTTCTTTCTTGAATCAGCAGTTTTTTATCTTGACTCCAGTCTCAAGCGGCAACAATCTTCTTGTATTTGACTCTGGGACTCCAGATGCTTGGATCCGTTTACTTCTTGTGTTCAGTGATGTAAATCGTCGATATGCGCAGTAGAATTAAAACTCAAATGGAAACGACAGCATGGTTTCGCAAGTAAAAATAAGCGAGCAGTTCGCATTCGTCGACAAATCATAAAACAGTAGGTAAGAAGGTTGCCTGGCTGATAAAAAGGTTGTGAATCATGTTATCGATGACTAGCGGCGTCAAACTCGAGTGACAACTTCGAAAGACTTGTTGGAATATCAACGCTCATCTACGGTTACCGAGTTACTATGAGCAGTGAAACTTTTATTGATATTGTCGTGGCTGACAACAATCATACCCAGTTTGTTTCAGAGTCGCGATTCCTCACCGATACCACGCGCTCTCCAATCTCATTTGTCTTGTCCTTACATCACCGGTTATCACTGGCAATCGATTTAAGCGATATTGGCGCCAGTCGTATAAAATATGCTGGATGCCGTAATTTTTCTCTCCCTCAGTTCTCCATATCGAGACTGAGTTTGCGTGCATAGGTCAACGTAAGACTCAGTAAGTGAACTTCCAACAACATGTGCCCCACGGTGGACGCCAGACAGTTCCATCAAACAGTGCTGGTGTATACTTGCCCTGTGCAGACCACTCGTGGACTATTTGTTCAGCTTCAATTCAGCTTCAATCTCTCAGGAATCAAACCAAAAAATTAAATAATGATGTAGGTAAGTACATCATGACGACACCACCCTTCTCTTCCTTGAGGCTTCGTTGCTGTCTGTACGCTTCCTTTTTTTGGATGTTTGTAAGGAGGGTTCAGGCTGTGAGCAGGGATGCATTTGCCTGAACTTCCTATACTGATGCTTCCGGTAGGGCCTTCCTATGTCCCTAGGTCTAGGGATGCGTTCACGTGTAAAAACACGCCGGTCGGAAAACAAGGCGAAGACCATCCTCCCTTGCCCTTCCCATGAGGTTGCATCATGCATAATTCCTGCACCTCGAAGGAAAAGGAGGTCGCCAGGGTTAGAAGGTAGTGCATATCCCAGGTCAGGGAATTCCCACAGACCACCCTCATATCTTCCAAATCCTGCCACGGCATCGAATCCACACCAGCATGATGCTGAATCACGGTGGAATTCAGTGTCCGCGTTGAACCGAATGGCTTGTCCGAAGAAATGGGACTTGACCTCACTAAGGTACCCCTTTCTTCGGTCGTGCTTTCTCCGGATCTTGTTCCAAACTTCACGGCTGCGTCGTGCGAAGTTGGGAGCGAGCCGCTCCGTGTACATGTTTAGTATATGATAGAATGCATCGCAGCGTTTCTGGAATTTCTTGTGGGTCTCAACCTGCCTCTTGGCATCAAAGCTTATGACAGGGCGCAAGTGCTGGAGGAGGTCAGCTATCATGAAATCATAAAATTTACGGGCTTACTGTTAGTCCTAGTGCATGCCAGTAGGCATAATGCAGTTGACCTGACTTGAACAGGTCGTGGGGGGTGCGCTTGAACTTTGTGCGGAATTTGGGCCGGGGGTACTTGTACTCGTGGCTGAGGTCATGACCTGCTTGGACGATATGATCCTGGAGCCATGGGTTAAACTTGATAAACTAGAGCAGAAGGGAATATATAACGAACATGGATTTGTTCAAATACAGCCGGCAACCTTATCGCCAGGAGAACACCGTTTTTATCTTCGATGGCTGCTCCCCCAGGGTGGTTTAGGACGATTTTCTGGCCAGGGCTGATTGGGGGAAGTTGGAGGGCCTTCATGTCATCTTGTGTCCCATTTTTCTTTTTCGCCCGGTCGTTGTGGATCGCCACAGACTGGTAATCAAAGTCTAATTTCACTGAGAAAAAAAAAACATTAGCAACATCCCCAGCCTGAACCAGTGATTCTTACCCGTGTTCTTCAATGCCTCCTCTATGATGCTGTCCATCTTCTGCTGTGCATGATGGACAGATGATCGAATAAATGGATCAGTTACACCCTCCAGGCGTTGATCCACAGTCATACTTAAAAACATTTTAACATAGGAATAGGAAATAAACGAGAAGTCTCACAAGTCCGCTCGCATTCTAAAGTTAGCTTTGGTGGACATCCTTCAGTGAGCAATCAATCCGGAAAATTGATGCTGTGTAAGCGCCCGCTATTGATTACATCAGTCGTCATCATATGATTCCACAGCGCCCGCTTAGATTTACCCAAAAAAACTTTTCAACTTCACGTTGCGCTGTGCTCCCTCTCCAGAACGATATCTCCAAGTTTTAGATCATGAATGTAAGCAAAACTGAAACTGGAAATTGTAAGAACCAGAACCGAGAGGTTTGGCGTCGTATATGTTCTTGAATGAAAGTCGCCAGCGCGCTCTCTGTTTTTTTTTTTTTTTTCCCTAATCTCTGCTTTCCGCCATTGCCCGTTGCCGAGCACCGAACGTTAGAGATGGTGTTTCCCTCTTTCTCACCGACATCACACACAATAAATTCTTGCGCCAGGTGTTGTATCACTTCAATGTTCCAAGGCCATTCTGTCCTCTTTGCATCGCTCATTTATACCTCTTCCTCCTCTCATTCTGACCATATTTACCAGGAATGGTGCGCACAGTGCGCTATGGGCCAGCCCTAATCCCTGACAGCAGTAAACCATAAATGGTAGAGAATTTTTTCGCGTCATTGTCCTCTTCTACTCTCCCAACCACCGTATGTAGTGTGTGAAGGTCGTTTTGCTTTCGTTGCCATGCTCCCTCAGCGTAGCTACACACCCTGATTCCTGAGAACGTGGATGCAAACAATTGGGAGATTTGCGAAGCTGAATGGGTCTGGGGATTTGACTCCGCATATGACCTTAGCGTACCACGTGACATTTAACACCGTGTCGAACCTATATAGCATAAGAGGCTGGTAACCTGATTTGATGGAAGTAGACCGCCAAGTCTATAAATCGCTTGGCCTGTTCTAACTTGCGCTCACGTTGGAGATAGACTTCACGGGGGCTCAGGTTGCAATCCATCAACGACCTGGGGTCACGAACCTCTCGGCGCTAACGAGCGTGGGAACGGAACGGAGCGAAGCGAGAGTCGTGAGACCACGGGAAACAAGATCACGAGCCAGAAGATCTGACCAGTTGAAGAGTCACTCCAACGGAGCTAACCTGAACAGCCACATTCCTGCGTTAGCGTGGGAACATTCTGGCAGAGCAACTCGCCCAGAATCCACCATGTGACTACTTAGTCACAAGACCTCTTTTATATTATTTCGGACTAACCCGTGCCAGGCCACGGATATATTCATTCATTTGAATTTTCCCTCAGTTCTTCACGCATATTAGCTGAGACTGAGCTTCCCGCTTACTTATGGTCCAGCTCCGAGATCAATTGTCGCTCATCAACAGTCTTCACTGGTCAACACCTTATATACATGAAGACATGCTAAAACATGCGAGGTGAGACAAGAGAAACATCCTAGTCATACAGGAAGTCTCAAACTACATGATCTGAAATGGAACTGAGATAAGCGGGACATGTGACATGTGAGACCTCCGTTAAGTCCGTTCGGGGTTACGGCTTAACCCTAACACCTGGCTTCCTTCCGCGGCTCCTTCGTGCGAGCAACAAAATGCAGCTGGCCCATCCCGCGTAGGATATTCTGCCTATCGGGTTTCCTCATTCAGGAATCGCATGATGACATATTGAAATTCGACGTTTGACTAGAGCCTTGAAGTTCAGTGTCGAAATGAACAATGAGTAGGGTCTCAGGGAGTTGACGGGTCAGGGTATTGATGACATCGACAGGGTGCTGAAGTGGCATTCCGATGCCCTTGTGTTGCGGATTTTATGCGAAGTCTCCTTGTTCTAACAGATTAGCCTTTGTTCCTTCGCGCCACACAGAAACATATAAGTGTGGTGTGTAGAGCTGAGTGCGATATCTATGATATCGTACTCAGGCAAGTTCTTCTCATATCCTGTACTGTATTTATTTATGATATTTTACTCAGTGTGTCGGGCTGCAACGCCGCGACTATAACACAGGGATCATGGGTGAACCTATCGACGCATTGACTGGAACATTAACTTCCATGTCCCTGGCACGTCTCGTGGAGGGTGACACTGCTGTGCCGGTAATATATGGTGATGGCTATCATGAAGTGGGTGTACGACTCAGCGTGCTGCCTTCCATTCCACAGCTAGTCTATCAATTTCTTCCTTCATGGTGATGCGCTGCATTTTCAGTCCAGACTTATTCCAGATTGATTCGTCAGCACTGTTTGACTGGCCCCTTTCCATCTGCGCCAAGGAATGATCAAAGTGAGCGCTCTCCAAAAACCAATAGACATACCATATATCCTATCGCCTTCTCGGGATTGCTCAAGAATATCTCCGCAAAGTGCACAAGATACACACCACAATCACAAAAGTTTTGTTGTCGTGGTACCTAGAGGTCGGAATTAGAAGTACACCTCGTAACGCTAAACTCCCCAGACACACCTCAGCTACCTCCGGCACAACATGATCCTGGAACCATTTTTCCAGCTCATGATCATCCCATTCACTCCCAACGAGTTTCTTATCTATTGCCTCATTCAAGAGGTAAGTCACAAGGACTTTCCTCAGCGCATTGGTAGAGACTCTACTAAAGGAATCCAGAACGAATAATGTGCACCTGAAAATTGTTTACCAACTGGAGCATCACAAAAGGGAGAGAGAACTCACGCATTTGGGGAGTTGGTCACGGTTGCTGTCTCAATGTCCATCTCGCCATCAGTGTCCAAATCTACAACCTCTATCGTTTTTGTTTGGTTCTGACCCATGACCGGCTTCGTAATCACGGATGCAGGCCTTGGAGGTGGCATTTGCGGGGGTAGTGCACCCTTTGGATTATAGATGATGCAAAGATACCAGTGGAAACTGTAGTAAAGTAAGCACGTTGAGAGGTCTTGAGAGTAGTGGGGACACACTCTTCATTGACGGGAATTATGATATACCTCTTGTCAAAGAGGTTGAATTTCGAAGTCCATTTACGCACGCTTTGGTAACCTTCCGAAGGTCTGCATGATGGCATACAAGGTGAGAACAATGAAACAACCCGGAGTAGATGTAACTTACAGTGGTGATCTTAATTTGCTATAGAAAAATGAGCTGAACAAGTGGACTTGCTCTGCAAGCGTTGGATTGGTTTCTTGCATCTTGTGGAATGCACGCCTGACATAAAAGTTTGAGAGTATAACATGAAAGAGGACTCGGAGATGCTTACATTGTTCCGAATTCAACCAGGGTATCATTGAAAAACTCGCCCGGTTCGAGACGGTTATAATCCCTTGCCGTGATTTCTATGCCACCCAACCCAGTTGGTGCATAAACCAGCACTCTGTTTGAAAGTTAGCAAACTATCGCCTTATGAGCTAGAGAACGCTCACAAATCAGTGGGATTCTGCCCAGGCAACGCCTTGCGTCGGAGCTCTTTCCATTGGGATAAGCGCACTGAGTCTGAAGGCTTAAAGCGAAATTATCAACAAAGGTGATGCACACACGCTGATGGTACTCACCATCCCTGCCCGATCAGCCTCTTTTGGGTCATTCTTGGCCAGCAATATGTCCAAGATTGGGTAGCGTACCACTGATTTCCGCTTGATACTCTGATCTAGGGGAGCGGAAGATGCCGTATTTGTAGCCAGTGCGACCTCATCAGCTTCCCGTGGAAGTTGGCTCTGGCTTCCGAGGTAGTGAATCCACATATGCATATGTATGTTTAGTTTTGAAGGGACGGACCTGCTATGCGATGTGGATGTGCAATCGGACTTCGAAGAACTTGGATCTTTCATTTCGGGTTTTGAGTTTGTTGTCGTTGAAATGTCGAAATCATTCACGTGACCAGATTGCTGCTGAAAATCTAAAATACTGTACTGGCACGACCAACAACCGGTCACGCGTCACGCGAGGACCTTGGATTGAATTGATTAGCAGCCTCCGGCAACTCCCGCCGTGGGAACCGGTTGTTGGTCGTGCCAGTACAGTATCCTCCGTACGTCGATGACTTTATTGATGGTCCTGACGACTTCTGGAGGGTAACAGATGACCTTGGCCCAGATATTGACTGTGGACGGAGCTCGGCGTGCTTGGCGTTTGAGTCTCATCTCAGACATTGTGCTTGCCTTTGATTCTCTAACTCACGTCCTCTGAGCATGGCAGGGGTAGTTCCACCCAGCCATAATTATTGAAAAAAGTCAGGGGACAGTTCCAATCTTACATTGAACATCATGAGTCTCCTTTGTCCATCTCCTTGACCACTAGAAGGGCCGCTTACGCAGCCACGACCTTGCTTGTGGGGGTTTGAACCCGTGGCAGAATTACACAGTGCACAGGCGATGATGTGTTAAAATTTCAGGGAGGAGACGTGTACAATAACGTTGTCATTTTGACAGGTGGTGCGATGTGGAGAGAAAATTTTACATAAGAGCCAAGAGTTGAAATCCTAATGCTGACAGCGTTGACGTTTAGTGGGTGAGAAAGAAGCGTGTAAGGATACATGTGCGAGGTAATGGGACATGCAGGAGGGCCGAAGGATTTAGTTACTACTGTGAATCCAGTGATATCAAAGTTTACAATAGGTTGCGTTGTGGGGTATTCGATAGCGTGGATGACGTCGCGATGTAATTCATGACGCGAGCAATCAGATTGCATTGTAATAAGTAGGTCGGTGCATTGGATGGAATGATACAGCTGGTACGTCTGCGTCGTCCGATGAGTTAAGGATGAAGTGGGAACCTGGATGATAAAAGAAAACCCATGTACCAGCAGCCTTGCAGCTGTCCGAGTCGGTGTTGTTGAAACTCTTGGTTTTTCTTGGGAGTTATAGTGCGCGGTGGCCAACTCACAATGTGATGTTGAGCTTTCGGCGCTGTATTTCCTTCCTTGGTATTCCTGCTACCAAAGTCAGTGCGCCATTGCTTATAAAGCAGTGAACAATTTTTCCCTTTCGTCTCCCTCAGTTCAACTTTTACTACATGTTTGTTTCATCACTCGTGTACTCTCATGTGCCCTAGCATAACACGCCAGGTAATTAGTTTCAATCTATTAGTTCAACTACGATTGACTGAGCGTAACACGCTAGCGCAAATCGCTAATAGTTGTTCTGACGCGAGGTCACTTCACGCGGCCAAAGTGGACAACCGAAGACTGGGGGGGGTCTGTCGGATCGCTGGGTGCGCGGCTAAATGAGAGAGCGAGAATGCGCTTCAATGCACTGGTGAGACTCTGTACGGTTCCAGTGTGTGTGTGCCGTCGCAATCATTGTGGAAGTGTGTCTAACCTGGTGGCAGTTGGGGATGTCGATCCAATTCCGGACATGCGCGAAATGGGAGGACCATGTCGGAACCGACCCCAAAGGTTAAGGAGCCGTCTGGCTGGACCCAGCATAATTATTATAAACAAGTATGAGAGGTTGGTATAAATATATATAAAGTAAAGTATAAAAAAGTTAGATGCATTCAGTTGTTCTACATATTGTTTCCTCAATATGTTGAAAGCATGTAGAAACCGTTCGCATTCACCACAATCCAGAATACCGTCTTTCAGGCATGCCAAACGCCGTCGCTGTGGTTGTAAACTGAACTTGTGCTCCGACGGAGGCTAAATGTGTTATGGAGAGGAAGTTAGAATCTGAGTACGATAACTTGTCGGTCAGGGGTTCCATTGTGTAGAACGACTTCGATTTGACCTTAACCATAGAAAAGAGGACGCGTTTATCACCTAGATAGATTGAACGTGGGGAAGGTGGGGTGAGTACGTCGAAAACCAGTGCCGAACACAGATGTGTGATGATACTCCAAACCCATTCAGTCATTCACGCACGATCGCTATCCACAATTGCAGCATGTTCTTCAGCAAGAAGAAGATCAATCTTTGCTTTCTTTTTCTTAGCACCGTTTTGAGAGCTCTGCCCATCGGCACTCACACAACCATCAACCCTCATCACTTCTCCTCATCCTTCCCTCCCTCATCATCTGACTCCAGCACCAACTACACTAGAACTCGGGATCGCGCTGCCACCATGGAGAACCAATGGTTGAATGAGAGGATTGCCACAGCTACTGACTTCGCTTACATCGGCATAGAACTTCAACATGCGATCGACTTCGAGCCCGAAAACGAATAGATCCGTCGCTAAGGCCGGGAGGCCTTGTGCTCGGCGCTATCGCCTGAAACGCACGGACTCAGTCTCTAACTTGAGAACTAATAACATTGTAACTCTTTACCTGTACGCACGGACTATAACACAGGGAGTACAGTCAGTTATACGACAGTTAAAGTAACGAAGAAAGGGATATCACCTCAGTCTCTAACTTGAGAACTGAGGGAAAAGAAAGCCTAGCGCCCCGCGCTATACAACGAGTACTAATATCGCTTGCAGTCGCGACACATGGTCGTCGGCAAGGGTTAATGCATAGAATAGAAGGGTAGGCGGAAAAAAAGGTATCAGCGGTGATCCCATCAACACCGCGTCAGACAAACTAATAAAGTAAATAGATCGTTGTTAACTACAATGATTTCCAACATCGCCTAATAGACTTGGCCCGTCTCTGGCTGGGGCGTCGCGCGACTCGTGTGTGGACTGGGAATTGTCATCCGAAGCTAGGGCCGGGAGGCCTTGGCTGTCTGGACTTGAACTGGCGATGCTGAGGGTTGCTAGGCCCTGGAGGTCATGCCCCCTGTTCCTGTCGTATGTCACATACGGCGTCTGGGTCTGTGCTGCCACGGTAGGCATTGCGCAAGGCTCGGGATCGATGTCAGATGGCAAACTCGATGCTAAGGCCGGGAGACCTTAGCTCCTCTGGCGCTATGAGATCGGGTACGGTTGCGGCATCGCATTTTGTGCTTGGGGGACTTCAACGTAAATCACGATGTTGCCGTCTGGCGCCTCCAGCTCGGGGACGAAATGAAAGGTGGATTGGATCTGTAAGAACTCGAATGAAGGTCGTCTGGCTAGGGAAGGGGCTTGTACATCGCGGTATCGAGGACCAACGGCGCGTCCGACTTGGGTAAAACTCTGAGAAACGCAGTGGAACTTCAAATGACGAAGCCGTCCATATCGATTCAGTGCTGAAGACAATATAGCAGGGCGAGAACAGAAGCAACCGTGGAACTCGCGATCGGTTGCAAGGTTATCATCATGATGAACGTCGTAAAGGGGTACATAAAAACATATAGTAAAAGAACGAGCAGCACGACGCCCCAGCCAGAGACGAGCCGAACCGAGCCCAGTGCACGATGATGCTGAGCACCAACCAGTAGAGAGACACCAGCACGCAAAGGACGCCAGTTAAACACCCGCATTTGACTGAATCTGAGTTCCAGCGTGAAGTCGATTGCGCATCGTATGGAGTGCTATGGCGATGTGAGCGAAGTCAGTAGCCGTGGGTATGGGTTAGTTATGGGAGTGGAAATTGGGCGTACTGCTGTGCCCAACCCCCATTCGACCTAGGGTTCTCTAGTGGGTGGCAGCGCGATGCGAAGTTGCGCGCACAGTAAGTAGCGCGATACCGAGTCCTGGGTAGTTTGGCGCTGGAGTGGTGGGAATGACAAGGAGAAGCGATGGCACGATGAGGATTGAAGGTTGAGGGTGTGAGGGTGTGAGGGTGTGAGGGTTGGTTGAGTCAGTGCCGAAGTTGTTGAAGTGTGCGCGCTAAGCTCTGAGCGAGTACTGTCCCAAGAATGGAGTCAATTCAGTGGGCGGAGGAAGCACAGACGGAGAAATCACAACGAACCGATCAGCGATCCATGGCAGATCTGCACTTATCCCCCCAGAGCCATCAAGAGGCTGGCGAAGCGTTTATCGAGGACTTCTAGCGATGCAGAGTCATCAAGATTGACGAGCCAATCGATGTTGAAGGCCGAATAGGATTCACTGAAAAGCAGAATCACAGTTGTTAGCTAAAGGTGTATGGTGAAGACCAACGCCTGTTCAAATCTTTACTTTCTTCTTTCTGCGTTCATGCTTCCGAACATGCTGACATCCATCAATCGGACGGCATTTAAAACTTAACCCATTATGGCTCTGACCATCGTTAAGGATTTAAGGACGTGCTCGGACCAGTCAGATGCGTGCTGAGTGGGCGTGTCGGAAGTGCAAGCGCAACAAACTGTGCTATTTCTTTTCCCAGTTGTATGGGGCTGAGACGTATAGGTCTTCCATAGCGGTGCGACTGTTTCACCATCAGCTATGCATTCTGATACTATATGAGGGAGATATCGGGAGTCGATGACCTTATGCTATATAGGTTCCACACGGTGTCGAATGTCACATGGTACCGTTGGTGTCCGAAACATGCATGACATCCTTTTGTGTCACAGTCACACAATCCCTTACTGTTCTTGGATCGGGGCTTATCTGTGACGGTTTGCAGGTCAAATATCCAGAATAAAACAAAGCATTTTTCACGCATCATTTGACAAGAAGCAACATGTCTATAAGATCAATCATTCAGAAGGCTAGGCTGTCCATGCGCGACAAATGTGGTATCGTACGACACGAAGGAAGGTATGATAGGATTCTGAGAAGTGGGAGCGATCACAGTGTTGTCGGGGCAGATATCTGAGCACGATATCTGTATCTTCATCGGCCATAGGCGCTGTAGACAGACAGCAGGATCAGGTGTGGTGCCCGCCATTCCTGGACAGGTCGTTCCATTCCTTCCGCAGACTTCTCTGCGAGATCGGCCCAGACCAGCTGTGGTGCTGCTGCTTGTTTGTTATGCGCCGGTTTCAGAGTCACTCACCGTTTCGAATGCATTTCGATGAGTCGGAAGGATTGGTGTTGCGGAATTCCAGCATAGGTTGGTTAACCTAAAGCCCAATCA